GAGGCCATGGAACTTCAAAGCAAGATAAGAGACGTGAAAACCTCACAAGGAAGCACGGATAGATGGGAATGGATTCACGACAAAAATGGCCAATACACAACAAAATCAGCATATTCACTTTTAACAAAAGAAGAGAGTGGAGCAAACGGAAGCACAACATTCACAAGAGTCTGGAATCCCATCCTTCCAAGCAAAATATCGGCGTTTAATTGGCAACTATTACAGGATAGAATTCCAACAAAAATGAATCTATTGAGAAGAGGGGTCATTAAAGACATGGGAGAATGCAGATGCGGTATATGCAATGAAGAAGAGGAAGACTCAACGCACATGTTTTTAAAATGCAAGATGGCTCAATGGTTATGGATGGCTTGTGCAAAGTGGTGGGGGATTAAAATCACACTACAAGAGGATTTCTGGAACACTTTCCGGAACTTTGAAAGAGAGTTGAAAGAGGCAAGGTTAAGAGATGGATGGGATTGTATTTGGAACTCGTTGGTATGGACGGTGTGGCTGGCTAGAAATCAAAAGCTATTTCAAGGAAAAAAGATTGATGCGGGAAAGCTATTTGAACTCATCCAGATGAGATCCTTTTTTTGGGTTAAATCAAAAAATGACAGGTATGCTTTTAATCTTGTTAACTGGATTTTGAATCCTGTTGCATGCTTGAGGGAGTGCTGTAGCAAAAGAAGGGCACCAATCAAATAATTGCGGGGCCAAGACTGATTTAGCTAGTGATTTTGGTCAAATGTTAGATGGGATGACAAATGGGAAGGTTTTGTGGATCTGAACAGTGACTTATGAATGAAACTGCAATAGTGGGCAGAAGCTCGACACGGTTATAGTGTCGACACGGTCTAATGGTGTCGACACCAGATGGTCAGCATCCAAAACTCCAATACAGAAGTGGTGTTGACACATATTTTGGGTGTCGACACTATATGGCAGGCGTCCAAAACATTTAACCTGGTACCTGTCAAGTATGATGTATGGGTTTGGGGTACCCCTTGTACTCGAGTATTAATAAATATTAATTTTTGCTGTTCAAAAAAAAAAAAACAGCAAGACTAAAGACCATCTTGAATGGCCCATAATTTTGCAGCAAGGCTATTAGTGTGGCCAATATTTCGAGAATAAAAAAATATCACACTTTACACTACTAGCTAGCGACGCCTTTTCATTGAGTGGAGTTGGCGAAATTGACGGTAACAGACGAGATATTGCAACGTGAGCACGACCAGACGAGATGATTGCAACGTCAGCACGACTGCATGAGATTTGTGACGAGGTGTAAGTAAGACCAGACGCGACTTGATGCGACGAATTCCGTTTTTTTTTTTTTTTTTGAAAATAGGCAATGGGACGAAATGCGTGGTTGGGTTACTGCTGCATTTGTTGTCTTTACCGTCGATGATCGATCAGTCCACTAAATGTATGATTCATTCCTTGTGGATTGTGGTGGGTAGCACTCATTCAGGCTTAAAATTTTTCAAATTCTTTATTGTATTGACTATTGAGGGTGCATTTTAGTAGCTTCAGATTTTATTTTTTAAGTCGAAATTGCATTATTGAATTTGCTTCTCTTTTGAAATGAGATTAAATTATTTTTTTCAAAAAAAAAAACATATTTAGTAGGTAGTCATGTTCAATCTATAATTTGTGATTAAACAAAAAAAAAAATTCTTTAGCTGATAATTACAAGAAATGATTAATAATAAGGGTAAAATAACCTAAATAAATTTAAAAATATGAAAATAATCTCATCTTAAAAATACTAGTTGCACTAGGACATGTTCAACCGAGCTATGATTAGCTGAAGTGAATTTTTTCTTAAAAAAATTATAAAATTATAAAATTATAAAAATAATATAAAAAAAGACCTTGGGCGTGACTGCAATGTAAGGATCAATGGTAAGCTGATTAAAAAAAAAAAAAACTGTAACTTAGCAGTTCTAGTCAAGATTGATATGAGAGATGGCAAGATGGTTGATCAGAATAAAAAAGGGTAGGTGTAACTTAGCTATTCTAGCCACGCTTTATAGAATCTACCATGCAAATCCACAATTCAATAAGACTAGGGGTGGGCAAAAACGGGTTTCGGTTAAAATTAAAATCGGTTTTAAAATAATCAAATTTTTTTTTTAATTTTGAGAATCAAAATCAAACCAAAACTTTTATAAACCAATTGATTTGGTTACCAATAAAATCGGTTCGGTTTCAATTTTTACTAAATAAATATTAATCAATTATTTTTTTAATAATGAATTTTATTTTATTTCATATTTTATCATATTTATCCTAATTTCGGTTTTCAAGAGATCTATTTTCAGTTTTTGGTTTTTGAAAGGTTCAATTAAATCGAATAAAAAATTATTTGATTAATATCAAAACCAAAACAGTAAAAATCAAAAACCATTGAAATCAAACCAAATTCATTTTTTAATTCGGTTTTTAGATAACCCATCGGTTCGGTTTCCAAATGCCAAGTCCTAAATAAAACAATTCCAAGTTTATGTGATATTAATTAGTACGAACATAAAGGTGTACCTTGAAAAATCCCCATTCTCTACAAGCAAAATGAAGTTTGGCTACTTCTGCTTCCGTTCATCCTTCAGACAGCAAGCTCTGCATATCGATGACTGGGATTTCCGACACCGCATTCGAAGCAATAGGCTGCTGTTGGTCAGGACGTGTGGATCTAGGTGGATTGTTATCAAGGACTTATCTCTTGCCAACTCCTGAACGCGAGGGACGGGCAGGGAATTTCCCAGGTTTATTGACTCTGATTCCGTAGTTTTTGCAAAATGATGGCCGAAAGCTTCTTAATGGGCCTCTAAAGGATTTTGAGCAAGATTTCCAGCTTTGGTTTATTTCATTAGTTATAGAAAAAGAATGAAGAATGTAAATTGAAAGTCTCTACCTAACCCTTCCAGAAGCATATTTTCTCATTTTCTCTGAAAGTACAGAATAGCCTAATTTGATAAAATTCCAAAATTTCATACCAATGATTTTGTAGGATCTTATTTATATACATATATTTTAGGAAATGATAGATACACATTAAATTGGACATATTTTTTTATATTTATTTTGTTTAATTATTAAAAATATAATATAATTATAGTTGATTCA